AATTATTTTTTGCTCTACTTTCTTTTGACTTCATTTTTTGCTATACTTTTTGTTCTGTGATATTTATACTGTTTCTTTAGACCTTAGTTCGTGTTGGGATTTTATATGTCCAAATGGTGTTTGATGAAATCTATCAGAAACTTAACCACTCAAATTCCATTTCAAACTTAAGTTATTCAAATACAGCAATTTTGTTAACAGTGATGGTCGACTAAATTGGACAAATTTATTTGGGATTAAGTAAAATCTGTTTCAAATTTGGACAATGACAATGAAAATTATTATTTTGTTACTGTCATTGTGGTTGTGACTATGATTGTGTAGGTGTCTAGTTCCCGTTACTATCTAGTTTCATACTTTAATAGATTTTTTTATAGTGATTGTAGTTGTTCATGTGATCGCGTGACTGTCTGGTACACGTTATTATTTAGTTTTGTTGATTTTTGACAATAACAGGAACAGTGACTGTGACTATTATTGTGATTGTATTATTGCTACTGTGAACGTGTTGTTGTCTAGTGCACCACCATTCTATACTTCAGCCCTGCTACCTTCTATAACTTCTTCATTCTCGGCCATTGTCCCTTACACCCCACTCACACGAACATTGTTGTAACATTTCGCTGTTATTGTTACTATCCATTTTATAATATGGTTATTTATGTCAATCAAGATAAATTAATTTTTATGCATTTAATTGCCCTTTAAGGCCCAAAAAAATTTTGTCTGTCCTTCTTGCCCCAAAAGTCCACAATTGTGGACTGACTTCTGAAAAAACCTTTTTTTTTTTTATGTGGGTTTACTTACAAAAAGATCAAGATATTAGTTTGTAGGGCTCTTATGTATGGCGGGCTTGGTTGAGAAAGACATGGATCTTAGTCTTCTACTTTTTATTTACTTTTTTTGTGTGTATATCCGAATGTCATGCGATTAATAAATAGGTTAAGTTAATGTTGAGACATAGGCAACCATTAATTAAGTGGGTCGGATTTAGAGTTAAATAGTACTCAGCACGGACCCAAAACAACACAATCCGGATATGACCCAATACAACTCTGATTACACCCCTAAATTGAATTTCATTCTAGGGGTGGCTATATAGGCAAATTGAGAGCCAAGGGCCAAGAACAGAGATTTATGCTGCATCTGAGGACTTGCTTATTGTGCAGGGCTATAGATGAAAATCTTATACACATTTATTTTGACTAGTTGGTGTACATATGCGTTGTACATGACCTAGGTTGAAGTATAATTTTTGTTTGAGCATTTTAAGCTTGTATACTCTTCAAGTGCAGTCATGTTTTAACTTGGTTCTTGAAATTTCAATTGTAACAATCAAGTCTTCAATATTTTAATTGATTTTAATACCATAGTAATATTTTTTAATTTTTTATTTTATGTATTTCAAATTTAAAATGAAGATTTTGTTGTTGATTTGGACTATTTGTAATTTGCTTAATTGGGGTGGCTGATATGGATCGAGGGTAGGATGAATTTATACTTGGCACATATACCCTTTGCAATTCTTTAAACATTTGGACTTTTTGACTTTTTTGTGTCTCTTCATTTGCATTAAGCTCTTTTAACTTTCATAACTTTGATTTGTAACGGCATACTATTTATTATGTTTTTATTACCTTATGCTATGTTTGGTAAAGAGGATGAAAAATATAAGGGATACACTTTCTATCCTTTAAGAATAGAAAGTAAGAATAATATACTTTCTTTCCTTTGTATTTGGTTTGATGGATGAAAATTAAAATTACTATATTTTTTTTTTTTGCTGGCTAAGATTAGGGGTGACAATCGAGTCGAGTCGTATCGTGTCAGATTCGTGTTGAGTCATTACGAGTTTGTGTCAAATATTAGTCAAATTTAATTTAACTCATTTAACTAATTATATTGTGTCGAGTTGCAAGTTGACCTGTTTATTTTCGTATCGAGTTCGAGTCATGTCATCATGTTGAGTTGAAAATTTTCACCCTTAGTTACGATGGAAAAAATACTTTTTTTAATTTAAAAATTTTAATTTATTTAATTTTTAAATTTTTTTAAAATTTATTTTTAAGATTTTTTAAAATAGATATTATATATATATATATATATATATATATATATATATATACTTTCAATTCACTTTCTTTCCGATTTTGGAGGGATTGATTTTGGTGAGTCGGAAGGAAAGTTAATTCATTCACTTTTCCATCATTCCTACTTTCCTTCCTTACCAAACATGGTGTTTTATTTATCCCTCCACCTTTCCATCCTTCCACTTTTTCATCGTACCAAATGGAGCATTAATGCTCTGTTTGATATAATGAAAAAATGAAAGGATGAAAAGTTTGAGGGATAAATAAAATATCATGTTTAGTAAATAAGGAATATAGGAAGGATAAAAAAGTGGATGAATTAATTTTCCTTTCAACTCACCAAAATCAATCCCTCCAAAATTGAAGAAAAATTGATGGAAAGTTAATTATTTGTTTTGAAATATATCTTATTTGTATATATTTCTTTTGATATATACATATATTATGTATACATTAATTTCATATAAAAATATAATAATAAAATATGTATTTATATACATATATTTTTTAAAAATAAATTTTAAAAAAATGAAAAAAAATTAAAAATAAAAGTAAAAGATTTTAAATTAAAAATATATTTTTTTCATCTTAAATAGGGTTGAAAATTTTTGACTCAACACAATGACACGACTCGAATTCGACACGAACTTGATTATATCTTAATACGAACTTGAAAATGACCTGACACGTGAACAATAAATATAAAAGGTTCATATTCAGTTCAACCAATCAAACTGAAAATTGACATCATTAACCCGTTTATTTAAAAATAAACATTTTCTTTATTTTCTCGTTTATATGGTAAGACGAAATTAACACTAAACTAATATGTTTAACTAATATTATAGATATAAAATATTAATTATTTGTAACTATTTATTAAGTACTGACATAATTATTATATAAAAAATATATTTTTACTTATTATTATTATATTTATTTAAGTTAATTTTTATTTTGTAGAAAAAATATTAATATGGATTCAATTAAGTGAAAATAGAATATTAGCGTTAAATTTTTTTTTCAAAGTTTATGTAGGTCAACATGAATACGAACACGTACACGACATGAAAATAAATAGGTCAACTCACAACTTGACACAACACAATTAGTTAAATGAGTTGAGTTAACTTTGACTATTGTTCGACACAAACTCATAATAACTCAAAATGAATCCAACACGACTCGATTGTCACCTCTAATTTTAGCCAACAAAAAAAAAAAATTAGTCATTTTTTTTTCCATCTAAGGCATAAATGATAGTTGCAATTATATTTTCATCAAGCAGAGAAGAAGAAGACGACTTAAATAAAAGTGTCTATTAACTTTCTCATAAAGTAATATACACCATTGATGTATTAAATTGTCATTGTTTAGATCAAATAAGACAAGAAATTAGAGTATGATTGGATATAGAAGTCTAAGTAGGGATAATATATAAAATTAAAAATTTTTCATGTTAAGGAACTTTTATTAGTAGTATAGATATAGATATAAATAACTATAGATATTTAGCATCACATTTTCCTCCTCTTCACCTCTTCTACAGCAACAATTAGATATAGTAAACTGGTTGATGTAAATCATTCCAGTCGTGAGACTTGATCAACTTTCTTCTCCTTCTTCTTATTTTTATTATTGAGTCCAAATAAAACAAATCTCTCTTATTTTTAGTCTATTTGGTCCTGAATCCTTAACTATTCAAAAGATTGTCTTATGCTAAAAATTGTCCAAATTTTTCTTGAATCCTTAATTATTCAAAAAATTGAAAAGAAAAAGTTATAGGCAATTCTATATGTTCGGATTAAACGTTTGAACACCCTTATGAAAATTCGAGTAAAACCCTCCGTTCACCTTTAATCACTCTAAAATCACTCTAACAACAACTCAAACGATTAATAAATAAATAGAACAATGTAAAACAATTATACGCACACCAAGATTGAGATAGAAAAATTCTCCATTTGTAGAGGGAAAAGACAAACTTAGAATTCATCCACAATAATTGACAAGTTACAATGGTTTATTATCTCAAGATCGTGCCTAAATCTTAAGATTAATACAATTGCAATGCACTCCAGGCTAAGTTATCAAGATAGATTACAATAAACAATGAAAATAGTATTACACATCACAAGCATCACCAATTACTAGAGCAATTACAACATATATACTGGTGATCCTGCCACAAATTTTATTTAATCCATAAGCGAAGGCTGCTCGAAGAACTTTTCATCCTTGCACCTTATTCCTAACAAAATTGGCAAACGTTGAATATAAGAAAATATAGCCACGAAGACGAACACAACAAATGGGGGGAACACAGTGATCTTTGCATGCATATGCTATCCAATAAACCAGGAAGACTCATTTTATATTACAAAAAATAAAAAATAAAAAGCATAAAAAAAGTGAGGCCCACTGAAAATCATGATTGAAGATCCACGATCAACGAAAATTTAAGAAAAAAAGTGCACAGTAGGTGGCAGATGAATCTTATTCTCTTTACTATCTGACTAAAAGTATGAGTCATTTATGGGTTGGAGATGCATTTGTTTGGAATTGAGGTACAAGAAATTTTAAAAATGTGATCCATAATAGAAAATATTTTTAGCAAAATGTCGTGGGATAAAATTAGAGTAGGATTTTTCACAGCAACTCAAATGAAAAAAATAATGGAGCAAAAAAGATAATTATTTTCGAATTAAGAAGTGGTGGGTAAAATAGTGTCTTACCTTCTTGCAATAGATTCAAGACAAGTTTTCCAAGTGCACCATCCCAAACGTTGACTGGTAAAAATGTCTGATAATAGGGATAGAGTAATCCTACGTGAACTTAAAAATTAGATTTGATAATTACAACCATTGATTTCACTGTGGATCCTAATATTTATTGGGATTCACTATCTATTCAATGGTTGAGATTATCAAGTGCAAGAAATCCTAACCAAGGCAGCGCTTTGATGAAAGGAAGCACATCTTCTGTCAGTCTAGACCAATCCAAAATCAAATGCGTGAGGCTTCGAAGTGAGAGGAACCAGTGTGGCACCTTCTCTAATTTCCCCATTAAGTGCAGAAATTGAAGGAGGGGAGGAGTTGCAGTGAGCGCATCCATTCGCAAGGTTTCTGCCTCATCTTTCACCATCACAAATAATCGACGAAGCACATTCATATTTCGCATTGCGGTGCACAAGTCTTCCTCATCTGCTTCTCTTACCTTCGTAATGCCAAACCTTGTCAGTTGCGCCATGCTCTTAATGTTTCTGATTATTCACTTTTGCTTCAACACAATCCAGGACTTGCAAGTTCTCTAACTTGTAAATATTTAGCGGGGTTGGAATACCAAAAAGATATTCAAAAGTTTCACCTAGGTGAAGGTAGATACGGTACATAAATAAATGCCGCCAGTTCTTCAACTTTGTTATTCCAGTTGGAAGCACTTCTATTCCTGATCTGCGAATGTCAAGTGTTTGTAGGTTGTAGAGCCATCCAATTGATTTTGGAAGCTCCTTCACCATTGTTCTCCTTAGGCTTAAATATTGCAAATTGAACAGATCCACTAATTCATCTGGCAATTTCTCAATTGGTGTATGTTCTAGATCCAATACCCTTAACAATCGTAAGCCAGGTGGCAATGTTACCAAAGATGGAGAACTCCTATAGTCAATGAACACAAGAAGCGAACGGAGCTTTGACATGCCCTTTAATGATTTTATTTGCTCTTTTATTGTTTGGATAGATAAGCGACGTGCTCCACTCTCTTCACTTACTTCTTGATCATCATACAAAGCAACAAAATTCTCGGCCGCCACTATTGAAAGAGCAATTTCCCTTAAAAGATCATGTAGCTTACATCTTTTTAGCCTTCCTGATACATCCCTCTTCACAACTTGAAGCATGTTTCGGTGAATGAGTTCCCTGAAATAGCTCTCTGCCACTTCTTCTGGTGTTATTCCCTTCACTTTTTCAACAAACCCTTCTGCCATCCAAAGTCTAATAAGCCTCTTTCTTTTTAACTCAAAATCTTCTGGAAATAAACAACAATATAAGAAACAATGCTTCAATTTGTATGGCAGTTCATTGAAGCTCAGTAACAAGATAAGCTTCATCTTTTGCAGCGAGGGGTTGTTCCTCAACTCGAAATCCAAGTTATTATTAACCTTTTCCCACTCTGATTCCAGTTTCTTCGACGACATGGCACTACCCAAAGCCACAAGAGCAAGAGGTAGTCCTTCACATTTGTTGACGAGGTTCCTAGCCAAGATTTCAAGCTCTTGTGGACAACGTCTACCCGGATTGTTGGAGAATGCCGTCACGGTAAAGAGCTCTCAGGCCTCTTTCTCTCCCAGTGGTTTCACATGGTGAACACGACTTTTAACTCCGAAGGACGATGAAGCTATATTTTCATCTCGCGTCGTAAATATTAAGAAATATAGGATTATTTTGTTTATTAAAGATAGAATAGTTATTTATTTTTCCTGCTTTATTTAGTTTATATATAATCTTTTTGTATTTAGGTTAAATTACTTCCTTGTATTTCAATTTAATTATGCAGTATCAATAAAACTCTAGCCTTCTCTTTTCTTATCTCTTATATTTTTTTAGATTGTTCAACATGATATTAGAGTAAAGTTTTATGGGACAAGGCTTAATCTCAAACACAGTTTACGCGGATCTAACTTTTTTTAGAAGGTATTTGTTTCATTTAAGAAATCTAGTATTTATTTCGTTTTTGCAATCTGGTATTTGTTCCGTTTTTGCAATCTAGTATTTGTTCCATTTTTTGCAATCTGATTTTATTTGTTTGTTGATTATGGTTACTGCAAGAGACGATTCGTTTCAGTCTGTGAGTGAGGTTGGATGGAAAAAATTATTCATATTAGAGTTATATGATGAGAAATTTTCTTAAGAGTAAAAAGTTATGGGGATATGTTAGTGGAACTTCTGTGAAACTTAAGAATATTGATACGGGTTATGTTGATTTCATAGATTTCTGGGAAACAGACAATGCAAAAATTATTACTTGAATCAACAATTCTATTGAGCATTCTATAGGTACGCAGTTGACAAAGTATGAGACATCAAAGGAGGTTTAGAATCATCTACAAAGGTTATTTACTCAATTAAATTTTGCAAAACAGTATCAATTGGAGCATGACATACGAGTTCTTCAGCAGAAGAATATGAGTATTCAGGAATTTTATTCTGCTATGACAGATTTTTGGGATCAATTGGCTCTTACAGAATCGACTGAATTAAAGGCACGTGGTGCCTATATTGCTCGTAGAGAACAACAATGGTTGGTACAGTTTTTAATGACACTTCGTAATGATTTTGAAAGACTTAAAGGTTCAATTTTGCATTGTTCTTCACTTCCTTCTGTTGACTCAATTGTCAGTGAGTTATTTGTTAAAGAGATACGTCTTAAGTCTTATTCTGACAAGGGAATTCTTTCTACTTCTAATCCTTTTATGCTAGCAGTACCTTTTAAACCATTCTCTCATAATCAGAATAAGCCTTACACAAGGCCTGCCTTCGACGAGTGCAGTTCTATAAGCAGAAAAGTCATTGGAAGACTCAATGTCCTAAGTTAAGATAGCAGAATCAATCGCAGCAGCAATCTCAAGCTTGGAAGTCTGGCAACCAGTCAAATCTAATGCTCCTAGACCACCTCAGGGTTACAAACCACCACAGTCTAATACTGCAACAGTAGTTTCATCAAGTCCTTTCACCAATTCCAATACCTTGGCTGAGCAATTTCAAAAGTTTCTCTCCTTACAGCCACAAGCTATGTCTGCTTCTTCTTCAGGAGGTCAGTTGCCTCATAGTTCTCCAGATATGTCACATTCTGTATGGGTCTTGGATTCTGGTGCCTCACATCATATACCTCTAGATTCTTCATCTCTTGCTTCTATATCTCCTTCATCTTCTATTCATGTTATGACTGCTGATGGCACTCCTATGCCTTTAGTAGGTGTAGGTTCTGTTATCACACCTCACTTGTCTCTCCCTAATGTTTATCATATTCCAAAACTCACATTAAATCTTGCTTCTGTTGGTCAGTTATGTGATTCTGAAAATTTAGTCACCTTTTTCTCTTCTTCTTGTTATGTGTAGGATCTGCAGTCTCAGAAGCTGATTGGGACAGGCCGTAGAAAGGGGGGACTATATATTTTGAATGAGTTAAAAGTGTCAGTTGTTGCTGCTGCTACTAGTGTTGATTTATTTTCTTTTCATTTGAGTCCTTCTTCTTCTAGTTTTTATTTATGACATTCTCGTTTAAGTCATGTTTCGTCTTCTCATTTGAGATTTTTGGCATCCACAGGGGCTTTAGGAAATTTGAAAACTTGTGATATTTCTTATTGTAGTGGATATAAACTGGCAAAATTTTCAGTTTTACCTTTTAATCGAAGTTTTTCTGTTTCTTCTTCTCCATTTGATTTGATTCATTCTGATGTATGGGAACCTTCTCCTGTTGCCACAAAAAGAGGGTCTCGATATTATGTTTCTTTTATTGATGATCATACTCGTTATTGTTGAATTTATTTAATGAAACATCGTTCTGAATTCTTTGAGATATATACAGCCTTTCGAGTTCTTGTCAAAACTCAACATTCTGTTGTTATCAAATATTTTAGGTGTGATTTGGGTAGGGAATACACTTCTAATAAATTTGTTAAGTTGCTTGCCTTAGATGGAACTATTTACCAAACTTCGTGTACAGATACTCCTAAGCAAAATGATGTTGCTGAAAGAAAATATAGGCACATTGTTGAAACTGTTCATTCTCTCTTGTTGTCTTTTTCTATTTCTAGTGAGTTTTTGGGTGAATCTGTTCTTACTGCTGTAAGTTTGATTAATACAATTTCATCTTCTCATATTTCAAGTGTTTCTCCTTTCGAAAAGTTGTATGGGTATGCCCCTGATTATTCTTCATTTAGAGTTTTTAGTTGTACTTGTTTCATTCTTCGTCCTCATGTTGAACGCAACAGGCTATCATCTCGATTTGCTATTTGTGTCTTTCTTGGATATGGTGAAGGTAAAAAGGGGTATCGTTGTTTTGATCCAATAACTCAAAAATTTTATGTGTCTCGTCATGTTATTTTTCTTGAGCATATACCTTTCTTTTCTATTATATCCACTACTTATAGCTTGACTAGATGTGATCTTATTCGTATAGATCCTTTTTCTAAGGATTCTGATAGTTTGTCATCTCAGGTTTCGAATACTTCAAATAGCAGCACTGATCATTCTACAGGTACTGACACTTTACTCTCTAGCACACCTGAAGCTACCTCCTCTCCTATGGTCCCTCAAGCTCCGTCTGAGATTGTGGATCTACCTCTACGTCAATCCACACGCATTCGTAAGTCCACAAAGTTACCAGATTTTACTTATTCTTGTTATTCTTCGTCTTTTACTTCCTTTTTAGCTTCTATTCATTGTCTCTCTGAGCCCTCTTCCTATAAAGAGGCAATTCTTGACCCTCTTTGACAACAAGTTATGGATGAGGAACTTTCTGCTTTGCATAAGATAGGTACTTGGGATTTGGTTCCTCTACCGCTTGGTAAGAGTGTTGTTGGTTGTCGGTGGGTGTATAAAATTAAGACCAATTCTAATGGATCTGTTGAGCGATACAAAGCTAGGTTGGTTGCAAAAGGGTACTCTCAATAGTATGGTATGGATTATGAGGAGACATTTGCTTCTATTGTAAAAATGACTACTATTCATACTCTTATTGCAGTTGCTTCGGTTCATCAATGACATATCTCTCAACTTGATGTTAAAAATGCCTTCTTGAATGAGGATCTTCAAGAAGAAGTTTATATGGCTCCCCCTCCTGGTGTTTCACATGATTCTGGGTATGTTTGCAAGCTCAAGAAAGTGTTATATGGTCTCAAACAAGCACCTCATGCTTGGTTTGAGAAATTTTCTATTGTGATCTCTTCCCTTGGGTTTACTTCTAGTAGTCATGATTCTGCTCTTTTTATTAAGTGCACTGATGCAGATCGTATCATTCTGTCTTTATATGTTAATGACATAATTATTACTGGTGATGATATTAATGGTATTTCAGTTTTAAAGACAGAGTTAGCTAGACAGTTTGAGATGAAGGATTTGGGTTCTCTACGATATTTCTTGGGTATTGAGGTAGCCTGCTCACCTAGAGGTTATCTTCTTTCTTAGTCAAAATATGTTGTAGATATTCTTGAGCGAGCAAGACTTACTAATAATAAGACTATAGATACTCCCATTGAGGTTAACGCAAAGTATTCCTCTTCTGATGGTTTACCTTTGTCAAATCCTACTTTATACCGTACTATTATTGGGAGCTTGGTATATCTCACTATTACTCGTCCAGATATTGCATATGTTGTTCATGTTGTTAGTCAATTTGTTGTTTCTTCTACTACAGTTCATTGAGCAGCGGTTCTTTGTATTTTGAGGTATCTTCGGGGTATAGTCTTTCAGAGCCTTTTACTTCCATCCATCTCTTACTTGGAGCTGTGTGCATACTCTGATGCTGATCATGGCAGTGATCCCACAAATCGCAAATTTGTTACTAGTTTCTGTATCTTTTTTGGTGATTCTCTTATTTCTTGGAAAAGCAAGAAACAATCTATTGTTTCTCAATCTTCAATCGAAGCAGAATATCGTACTATGACATTTATTACCAAAGTGATTGTTTGGTTACGTTGGTTACTTGCAGATATGGGAGTTTCTCTTTCTCATCCCACTCCTATGTATTGTGACAACTGGAGTTCTATTCAGATTGCTTACAACTCGATTTTTCATGAACGAACTAAGTACATTGAGATCGATTATCATCTTACTCGTCATCATCTCAAGCATGGCACCATTACTTTGTCTTTTGTTTCTTCTTCTTTGCAGATTGCAAATTTCTTTACCAAGTCGCATTCTATTTCCCGTTTTCGTTTTCCAATTGGCAAACTCTCGATGCTTGTCGCTGCTACATCGTGAGTTTGAGGGGAGATGTTAAGAAATATAGGGTTATTTTGTTTATTAAAGGTAGAATAGTCCTTTACTTTCCCTGCCTTGTTTAGCTTATATATAGTCTCTTTGTATTTAGGTTAAATTACTTCATTGTATTTCACTTTAATTATGCAGTATCAATAAAATTTTAGTCTCTTCATTTCTTATCTCTTGTATTTCTTTAGATTGTTCAACAGTAAGAATTACTCGATTTCCAAATCCTTCATCTGGAAGAGAGACATTGATTTCCTCCCAGAGTTTACTGCTCCATACATCATCCAAGACAACTAAGTACTTTTTCGCCCCTAAATAGCTCAGCAGTGTACTGACCAACTCTCTGAATCCCATCGTGTTTAAATTGGTAGGAACTGCTTCCTTGGTAGCGCCGTAGAATTCCTCAATCATTCTTCTCAGTAAATCATCAACAACATATTTTTGGGAGACAGTGATCCACGCCTGACAATCAAAATGCCGTTTTACTATTCGGCTATTGAAGGCCTTGGAAACTAGAGTGGTCTTACCCGAACCACCCATTCCTACCACTGAAATAACAGTACTGCATTGTTGTTCTTCGTCCGTCAGCCATTTGACAAGAAGTTTATTATCATCCTCAATCCCCACCAACTTGTCCTCCTTGATAAAGAAAGATGACTCTGCATAGTTAAACAATGTTTTTTGATCATCAATAGAGCTCGTTCCTTCTATTTGTTCGATAGCCAAACGTTTTCTTCTTTCATAAGTGAATTTGATCTTTCTCTTGATCTTTTGTAACTTTGTGGCGATTCGATGCTTCACCCATAGATTCTTTGGAAGGCAAATTGTCTGGTAAAGAAGCCTACTGAATTTGTCCCCATTATGTTGCTTGTTCATGTGATACATGAACTCATCTATAACATCTTCAACCTCATTTGCTAGGTCTCTGATGCTAGCCACCCATGTGCTCTCTGCTTTAGTGAGGACCCCTTTTTTATCAGCATCTTGTAGAAAAGCTTTCATGCCTATAAACTCCTCCTTGATTTCATCAAGGTCATCTCTAAGCCCTCTGATCAATGATGCTTCGTTCTCAGTGGCCAACACTATCTTGCCTATCAACAAGTCTGCAGTAGTGGAGGCTAGGATTGCTTCCATCTTTCAACTTTCCTTCGTTGCACCTTGCTACCTTGTTGAGTGTTCTTCTTTTTTTGGTTTAGTTTTTTTTTTTTTTGGGCTTAACTGCAAAGGAAAATGTATGTCAGTCTTGGACACAACTGAAATAAGAATATACTGAGCCAATTTTTATAAAAATGAGGCAAAGTCATTGGAGGCAGGTCGTGGTCTCCAATCTACATCGTCCCATCTATTTTCTAATTTTTGGGGAAGACTAATATTTTCAATTTACATGCATTTATTTTATTTATTTTGGTAAGTTTCTTTTCTTCAGAAACTTTTTTAATATTTTCAGGACACTGTTTTGTGGGATAAGTTTGATCATGTAATCTTCTTCCACCACGAAAAACCTATACGATTTGTGTATGAAATTTTGTTTTTATTGTTTAATTTTCTTAGCAAATGTATCTAGGAAAGGATTGTCTCTAGAAATCATCTTGCACTCTCCAAAGAAAAATACTATTGAGACCTAATTTAATATAATCTTTGGATTGAAATAAGGTTACAACTAACACTGTAATTTATAATTGATTTAATGACTACATTGAATTAGGTCTCCATAATATTACCCTTCTTCAAATATTGTTTGGAAGTTGAGTAGGAAATTTCAAAGATCACGTGTAATTTTGTCTCATACGAGATGATATTTGCGCTTGAGAACATGTAAATCTAAACTTGCAATGTAGTTTTTCGAATGGTATTATTTGGACAATATTTGTTAGGACTAATTTCAACTTGTATTTTGAAAGATTATTCGAATTTTAATTTACAATCTCAAAATTTAAAAATATTAATTTACACTCTGAAAGATATAAATACGTATCAATGTGCATCTGAGACTAACTGTTATCTATTTTGCCATTAAAAAAGTTTGGGTTAATTATAAATTACACCCTTCAAAATTTAAATATTTCACATTTATAATCCAAAATTTTTTTTATCAATTAATGCTCGTTAAATAGCTCTCAATTGTATCATATCATAACATTTTCGTGTTGTGTTCGAGTCAATAAAAAAATATTTTTAACAAAAAATATTTTCGTATCGAGTCAATTGTGTTGTGTCTTATATTTCATATTTACGACAATTCATTTAATCCTATTTAATATTTTTTTTAAAATTAAAAAATACCAATTTTTCGTTTATAATTAAAGAACTATTTTTTATCTACAGTTATTTTATTCGTATTTAACTTTAATTAGATCAGACAATCAAAGGATTTGTGTCTAACTGTAAATATAAAATAATTATTTAACGAATATTGTTGGTAAAAAATAGGTATTTTATAATTTTTTTAAAATTTTAAAAATATTTTTTTATTGATTCGAACACGACACCAAAATGTTATGATACGATATAATTGAGAGTTATTTAACGGACATTAATGGATGGAATTATTTTTAGATCATAACTATGAAATATTTAAACTTGAAGGGTATAATTTATAATTTATCTAAAATTTTTTAAGGAAAAAATGGATAGAGTTAGTCTCGGGTGCACATTAATACGAATTTATATCTTTCAGAGTGTAAATTAATATTTTTAAACTTTGAGGATATAAATTAAGATTTGTGTGATCTTTCGGTACAAGTTGATATTAGCCCAAAAAATTAATACAAATTTTTAGTTTGTTGTTGAATTAATAGTGAATTCAAATATTATTTTGGGACCTGCAGTAGAACACTCTTACCACCAACAACATTTCAAAGCTTGGATGACTAATCATTATACCACCTTGTACATCACTTCTACAATGAAATATTGAATACAACGATGATACCTTAAATAAAACATAGCACAAGTAAGAGCCCAAAAGCACAAAATTTTTAAAAAATTTGAAAGTAGGAACACCTTGAGAGTGTCACATAATATACATACATACATATTTACATATATAAAAACTATTAAAAAATATAATTTTATATGCAAATATATGATAAATGATTTAAATTTATTTAAAGCAAAAAAGATTTCTTGTTAAAAAAAATAAAATCAAAAAGCTTTGAAAGACAAAAGCATTCAAAGGCATTTTTATGCCTAGCAGTTGATCCCACGTCGAATAGCCAAGAAAACTTACCACCAGTCCTAGTCGGGCATGTGCAGTGATGATCCTTTAAGCTCGAAAGCCTTCTTTTAGGTGAGTTTAGCAAGGAGAAGTTGATCTTTTTGAATGTTTCGGTAGTCTTTGGGATTTTAACCCCCAGTTATAGTGTAATTGTTGAGTTTGCAAATTGAGTTTTTGAATTTACAAATTCAGTGAAGTGGGAGCGTTAACTCGAGTCGAATTCACTTTGAATTTGCGATTAAAGCTCGAAGCGAAAGAATGTGTAGTATAGCTGGTGAATCTTATGATTAAGGTGATATCACTAATCAATAATAAAATACTAAGTGAGTAAGGTGAACCTCACTTAGGTAATTTTTTGCTTACATGAAGGAAGAGTTAATAGTTATTTGCTTACGTAGAGAGTTGATTATTAATTTTTAGTGGGACCTATTAACCTATTTATTTTGATATTATAAATTAGTAATACAACGTCAGCATTGTCGCGTGATATCACCGTTATAATGAATATTTTATCCACTTCTACATAGTCTAGGTGTTAGTAAGATCCACCATTTCATACTAATTATGGCTAAAATGTTTGAAAAATCATTTAGATTCCAAAACTAAATATTTCAGATGCATTTGAATTTTTTTTGAATTTCATTTGATTTTAAAATCTGTTAATTCACGGTTAGGTTTATGATATGCATTTAGCATTTCCGTAGAATTTCATTTACATTTCAAACTACATTACTCTTTGTTTTGTTTTTTTAGGTAAGCAAACCACATTACCAGTCATATTCACGCAAAGGATATCTACAATATTTACTCAAATTTTGACTTAAAGTTAAATTTGAGATAAAACACGCTAAAAATAAGCTTTAGTATTTTATTAAAATTTATACCAAAATAAAGGAAGACTCAAATTTTCACTTAAATTAAGAAAGCTTCAAAGTTTTATTCAAATCTCCAACGATCATATTTCATAATACTTTATGTATCTAACAGTTATATTTACGATCCTTTATGCATCTCTCTACTCTATTTTTATCTTTCTTATTTTTTAATTTCTGTTAAATTTATTGATAAGTTTAATAATAAGTAAGACCACTAAAAATCCAATCATTTACCACCAGTATCATTTGTCAATGTTAGATTGGATAATTTTTCTTAAAATTTTAGGAATCAACGATTATGTTTATTTTAAAACCTTGAACTCGACTCAACAAAACTTTAATCTACACTATTTGGGATTGGCTACATTAATTTTATTTCTCCATTATGCTCTATCAAGGGCTATATGTTTTGTTAATTTTACTCTAGTTTGTAGTTAATTTCTATTTTACCTTCATCAATCAATACTATATCATCGACAAATAATATAAATTATGAAACCTCATCCTGAATATATCTGGTCAATTCATCTATAATTAAGGCAAAGAAATAAAGACTTAAAAGCAGAACCTTGATGTAGGTCTAGCGTAATTAGAAACTCCCTACTGTCTCCTGCAATTACTCTAACTAAGGTCACTGCATTCTCATACAAATTCTTAATCATATATATCAATATATCTATTTGTAACTATCTTTTCTCTCAAACCTGCCATATGTCCCTAGGCACTATCATGTGTCTTGTCTAAGTCTATAAATGCAATATGAAGATCTCTCTCTCTCTCTCTCTCTCTCTCTCTCTCTCTCTCTCTCTCTCTCTATATATATATATATATATATAGCTTTCCTCATGTCTTCTAAGTAAGCATATAACTTCAATAGTTGACATTCCAATCATAAACCCAAATTGATTATCATATACGATTATTTCAAGTCTTCGTCTTTGTTTGATCTTTCACAAAGTATCACTGAATGACTCATTAACTTACTCTCTCGATAGGTTGTGCAATTTAGAATACCCCCTTTGTTTTTGTATATACGTATTAAAATACTCTTCCTCTACACATTTGACATCTTCTTAGTTGTTATAATCTTGTTAAATAATAGAGTTACCAAAGATACCCCCGACATCTTTTAAACACTTCCAAACCTCAATTGGCACACTATCCAATTTAATTTTCATTTTCTTTAATGCATTCTTTACTGCAGACATCCGAATTCTATGAAAAAACCTATTTTCATTAATCTCCCTATTAAAAATTTGATTATAATTGACTAATTTCGTGAAGTCTTGTTATAAATCTCAACATAATTCTATTGTCATGATACTTCAAAAATCAAGTTCTTAAAGCATCAAGGAAGGAAGGAGTTCAAGCTACAAAATCAAATCAAGAGATCTCCAATGCACCTTCAATACTTAGAACAAAGGTAATGACCTAAATACCTAAAAACCCTTACTTTATTTTTAGACTTTGGATTATTAGATTAATAGAATTGAAATTAGGAATATCTGTGACCGACTCTTAGGCTTTTCATGATATAAGATTTTCTAAGTTTTAAATGTGTTTTGGCCTTTGTAGTTTCTAAATTTTGACCCTTTTTTTCTTCCTCCGAAACTGTCAAAAATCTGAAAGATTTGAGCTTTCAAACAGTGTTTCATTGAGAAGCTATAGACATGGAAAATGTTTGTGGTTGTTGTAGCAAAGATGAAAAAATGGAATTGCCTCCAAATTCTGAAAACCCCCTCCCCAAATTCTGAACCCCTCTCCCCTCAATTTTGAAAACTCTCTTAGTTTTATGTATAATATAATATTTACATTTAGACCCTATCAAATATTAATATAAGTATTTTTGAAAATCTTATATTTATAAGACGTATTGTGCAATTGATTTTTGTTATTTAAAGTGGATGACTGTTAAATTGTCATTAAATTGTATTATTTAAAGTTTGATTAGAATTATTATTTTGTCATCCTTTCCCATTGATTCCTATAATTACACTTTGACCCACTTTTTTTATTGTACTTCACAATTTCATGTAATGGTA